CAGGCTGGAGTGGAGTAGTGCGATCTCAACTCACTGCAACCTCCGCCTCCTGGGTTCAAGCCTTGTGCCTCAGTCTCCCCAGTAGCTGGGACTACAGGTGCGCATCACCACACCTGGCTAATTTTGTAGTTTTAGTAGAGATGGGGTTTTACCATGTTGCCTAGGCTGGTCTCAAACTCCTGACCTCAAGTGATCTGCCTGCCTCTGCCTCCCAAAGTGCTGGGATTATAGGCGTGAGCCACCGTGCCGGGCCCAGTACATGGTTATTAACTATTATTACCATGTTGCACAATACATCTTTAGAACTTCTTCCTTCAGTCCAACTGAAAGTTTGTATCCTTTGACCATTTCCCCATTCCTGCTGGCAACCACCGTTCTACTCTCTGCTTCCATGAGTTCCACTTTGTTAGGTTTGATTCATGAGATTGCGCAGTGTTTGCCTTCTTATGCTCTAGGCTGGACCTTGCTCATCATCAGCCGAGTGACAAGCAGATCAAAGGCCCAGAAGGGAGGCCAGGGCTCAGTGTGGCTGGCACCAAGAGCTGAGCTTCTAGCATGGGCCCACACATACATTTAGGACCCTAGCCGATCTTCCCTTCAGAACCATGATGAAGAAATGAAAGCCAAGGCCAAAAAAAATCTCAGAATGTTTTTTCCTCCTCTGCTTGGGAAGCAGAGTGGTCTGATGGCTCCAGCATAGAATCTGTGCCATAACCAAGTCTGATCTGGGGCAAGTTACATAAATTTTGCTCATGAAATAGGAGTGATAATAAGGCTTCCCCCAGAGAGTTTTTGTGAAATTAAATAATTTCGTGGGACATAGTAATCGCTCAGTAAGTGTTCTGGTCTGAGAGTCACCAAAAGGATGGAACTAGAGATATTTGGGCAAGATATTTGCTATGGCCTGAATGTCTGTGTTACCCTAAAATTCATATGTGGAAATCCTAATCCCCAAGGCAATGGCAGGGCCTTTGGGCGGTATTAGGCCGTGAGGGTGGGGATCCCCAATTAATGGGATTAGTGTCTCATTAAAGAGATTCTAGAGTCACCCCTAGACCCTTCCTCTCACTGTGAGGTGACAGTGAGAAGATGACCTTCTATGAACCAGGAAGCAGTCTGCTGGCGTCTGAATCCTAGGCTTCCTAGCCTACAGAACTGCCAGAGATTGCTGTAGTTTATAAGCCACCCAGTCTATACTTTGTACAACAGACCAAACAAACTTAAGACGATGTTAAAAATAACTTGCTGATTAAAAGCCCTACGAAATGCTAGACCGTGCATGGCAACCAAGAGGTTTTATTTATTTATTTAGTGACGGAGTCTCACTTTGTCACCCAGGCTGGAGTGCAATGTCTTGATTTCGGCTCACTGCAACCTCCACCTCCCAGGTTCAAGTGATTCTCCTGCCTCAGCCTCCCGAGTAGCTGGGATTACAGGCGCCCGCTACCACACCTGGCTAATTTTTGTGTTTTTAGTAGAGATGGGGTTTCATCACGTTGGCTAGGCTGGTCTTAAACTCCTGACCTCGGGTGATCCACCCACCTTGGCCTCCCAAAGTGCTGGGATTACAGCTGTGAGCCACTGTGCTCGGCCAACCAAGAGGTTTCAAGGAAAAAAGCAAGCCATAAACTTCCTGTGGTTAACTGACTGTGGTTCTAAACAGAGGCAGGGGCTGCAAGCAATGACTTCTCAGGATCTCTTTCAGCCTACAGGTTCCTGGAATGCATTTCAGCTAACACTATAGCAGTGATGTCCCTTGCTATTGAGAGCCCTGGGAACAGCTCAGCTCCATGGTCCAGCCATATAAATCTGATAAAAATAGGAGCTGAAATACCATCCTGGAGTTGCTATTTTAAAAAGCATCTGAGATGCTGGATGGGGTATATTTCTTCCTCATACAGCATCTTGCTGTTCCCTCCTCTTGGTGGGCAGGATGCTAATGTGGCACAGAGAGAGACATGCTCCTGCTCACACCCACTCCTGCCAGAGAGGAGCCGCAGGGCCAGGGCTTTCCAGGTCTAGATGCACCTGCTCCTCCCTCTGCTCCTGAGGCCTCTCTGGTTGCCCCAGCACAGAGGTGTCCTGCCACTTCCACCAAGAAGAAATACAAGAGAGGTAAAGGGAGGCATAGGAAATAGGAATGGAGGCAGCACTGATGGCTTGGAAGGGGACTCAGACCTGTTGTTCCTCAGGTTACCTTGGCCCCACTTTGGCACAGCTAACATCCAAAAGAAATAGTCCCCATGGGTCAAAGTTCTGCTCACCCCATCTTATTGCCTCTTGTTGAGCCACTCATAACGTCTTTTAGCTGCACTAAAGGGGTGCCTGGGGTTAAAGAAGCACAAGAAAAGAAAAGAGAAAGGAAAGATGGAAAGAAAAAGAAGGAAAGAAAGAGAAAGAGAAAAAGAAGGAAGGAAGGAAGGAGAAGAAAATAATAGAGAAAAAGGCACCAGAATTGCTTCCCTCCTGCCCACAAAGATGATATGGCTTCTAGGCAGTGAGCTAAGCTTCTGGCTGTGCTGTTAAGACACTGGGGAGAACAGGTCATGAGTAAGCCCACTGTGGCCTAACCGGAGGGGAGCAGAATTATGGTTAGCTTCTGGGCACCTAGTAAACAGGCTTGGGATAAGCTGGGGGAAGGAGTGGGGAGAGGCCTGAATACAGCTTATAGGTTAGAAGAGGGGTGTCACCTGCATAGTAACAGCACACGCTTGGCTGGGCATGGTGGCTCACACCTATAATCCCAGTACTGTGGGAGGCCGAGGTGGGTGGATCACCTGAGGTCAGGAGTTCAAAATCAGCCTGGCTAACATGGTGAAACCTTGTTTCTACTAAAAATACAAAAATTAGCCAGGTGTGGTGGCATGTGCCTGTAGTCCCAGCTACTTGGGAGGCTGAGGCAGGAAAATCACTTGAACATGGGAAGTGGAGGCTGCAGTGAGCCGAGATGGTGCCACTGCACTCCCACCTGGGCAACAAGAAGGAAACTCTGTCTCAAAAAGAAAAAAAAAAAAAAAAGCCAGCACACACTTATATATAGCAGGTTACGCTTTCAGAGCAAATTTGAATCCATTGTCTGATTTAATGCCAACAATAGCCCTTTGAAGAAGCACAGTTATTTCCATTTTTTTGTTCTAGCAAGAAAACTAAAGCTATTTAGTGGCAGAGGCAGAGTTGGAACTCACATCTCCAGGAGCAAATGCTGGTTCTTAGGTTCCATTTTTCTGGTAGAGTGACATTTACGTGATTCACGGCAAGAATTGCAAACTATGTTTAGATCTAGTTCATTAAATGGCCAAGTTTAGAGGCTGGGCTGATGTTTGGATCAGCTCTGCCAGATTCACCTAGTTATTAAGGGCAGCTGCTTATTCTCTCTGGGCCAGTTTTCTTATCTGTAGAAGAAGAAGATGATTCCCTCTTCCTCCAGTTGCCCAGGGCAGGGAGTTAGTCATTGTGTTCTTTCTTTTTTTTTGAGATGGAGATTTGCTCTTGTTGCCCAGGCTGAAGTACGGCGGCATGATCTTGGCTTACTGCAATCTCTGCCTCCCAGGTTCAAGAGATTCTACTGCCTCAGTCTCCTGAGTAGCTGGGATTACAGGCATGCATCACCATGCCCAGCTAATTTTTGTATATTTAGTAAAGACAAGGTTTCTCCATGTTAGTCAGGCTGGTCTCCAACTACCGACCTCAGGTCATTTGCCCACCTCGGTCTCCCAAAGTGCTGGGATTACAGGCGTGAGTCACCACGCCCGGCCCATTATGCTCTTTATATCCGCTTAATTCCAGACCTGGAGATGGCATGCAACAAATAGTTGCTGAATGAATGTTTGACTGATTAAGCCAAAGGCACCATATTGAAACAAAATTAAGTTAGATACGGTGAAATGCCAAACAGCCTCTGCCCATGCAAGGAATGATTGAGGATGGAGCACAGTCACCTGCAGAGGAACAGCTGGGAGGCAGACTCCTCACTCAGCTCATTTGGAGCAGAGCTTCCCGTGTTACGGCTTCTTGACAGATAAGCCCTCCCGCCCGAAGCGGGCTTTGAGCTGGCACTTCTCTGAACCACCTTGCACTTACTCACATCCTGTCCTGCCTCGTTTTTGAATGGAGTCCATGTGAGCCTTCTCTATGCCGCTGGATGGTAAGCTTCCTGGGGACAGGGAATGGGTCTGACACTTTCCTTGGAGCCCCTGGCGTTCCCGACACAGGGCTGTTTATACGTGGGGCTCTGGAAACACTGTGCCGACCTATGAAACGGACTGGCTTAGGGGGCTGTGGATTGTCCTGCAGGGTGACTTCTGAACTGTTCTTCAGCCTGGGCAGTTCCCAGGTTTATTTGGGGGGATGCCTGGGTCCAAGGAACCAGGGTCAGGGGCCCAGGGGTTTCTTCCTGTAGACAGGATGCCTGGCGCCTTCAATAACAGGAAACGGAGAAACTTTCCGAGGCCAAGATAAAGAGTCTGCAAATGAGGGGTGCAGAGCGAGCAGTTTGGGGGCAGCAGGCCCCGACCAAAGCAGAGGAAGGGCCCAGGTCTGGGCCCAGGGGACTGGCTGCCTTGCGTGCATGGGGGATAGAAAGCATGGGCTCCCGGAACAAGGCCCTACACCCCCCGCCTCAGTTTCCCCAGTGAGGGAAGGACACGGTTCCCTGCTCGGGAAAACACTGAACCCTTTCTTGATTCTCATTGTTCCCAGGAGGGTGCGCGTTGGCTGCGCTGGGCATACCCACCGTCGCGCCACTGACAGGCAGCGCCTGCCCTGGCCCTCCGCTCACCCCATCCGGCCTCCTCTTCCGCTCCTAAGCGCCTCTCGCACCCCCAGCGCCCTTGCCTGCCTCCGTCCGGGCCTCGGAGGCGTGCACACCATCCCAAGCCGGCGATCGCGCGGCACTGCCCCCGCCCTTCCCCCTCCTCCACCCCGCCCTTCCTCCCCCTCCCGGTCGCTCCCGGGAGTCGGCTCCAGGGCCGCCGTGTGCGCAAGCGTGTCCAGCCCCTTCCCCGCCCCCCGCCCGGGCCCGGGCCCCCGCCTCCCCTGCAGGCGGACTCGTCCGCTCCCAGGCCGGCCCAGCGCCCTGGACAGGGACCGGGCCGAGCGGAGCCGTCGCGCTAGCGCTGCGCTGCGGGTCGGTGCGCCTAGCGGATCGGAGCTGCGCGCGGAACTGTGCTGCCCCGCCCCGCTCCACCCGCGAGGGTGAGTATGCGGCCGCCCGGCGCTGGGGCCCGCGGGGGAGGCGGGGAGCCGCGGGGTCCTCGGCCGCCTGGCCTCAGCCCGCGCGGCGACTCCGGGAGGGGGTCGGGCCCAGCACGTGGGCGCAGCGCGGATCGGGGTGGGGCGGCCACAGCCCTGCGGAGCTGCTTTCCGGGGTCCCTTTCCCTGCACCAGATTTTCGCGGGAAGCCGGATCCTCTCCGCTCCTTTGAAGTGAGCAAGCGGGACAGTACTGCGGAAAGTTTCCGCCCCACTCCCCAAGCCCTGCGCCCGGACTGAAGAGGCGGCCGTCACCTCCAGCATCCTCGAGCGTTGGTTTCTCTAACTACCCTGGTCAGGTCCAGCACATGGGAGCTCGCTGTGCTGGAGGTGACAGTCTTTGCGGTGTCTGCCTGTGTGCAGGAGTCGCAAGGTTGCTGAGCAGAACCCAGAGGTGGAGTTGTCAGTGGGAGGCCGGCCGTGCCCAGGGCCCCAGGGCCACGTTATGGGGGTCCTCAGGCCTAGGCCACTGTGCCTCAGAGCTGCACGGGTGGTGAGCAGTGGGGAGGGATGGGTTGCGAGGAGTAGGCTCAGCTGTCTGCTGTGGGTGTCTCCTCGGGGTCCTGGCTGGCAGGGACCTCCTGGGCATCCCAGAACCGCCAACATGTCTGCCAGCACTGACCCTCCATTCCCAGTCTTGGGGGGAGGCTCTGTCTGGGCAGCGTGAGGCCTGACCTACTGTGGCTGCTTCCTCTGTTCCCCAGCCTGGGTCCCGAGGGCCTGGCTTAGGGAACTGCTGCCAGAAGGCTGGGAGTGTAGGCAGTGTTCGGGTGCCCAGCTGTGCCCTGTCTGACCTCATGGCCACCCACAGGCTGGCACCCCCCACAGGCTTCTTGGGGATGCCTGTACTTTCCACCGCCGAAGGGAGGCACCGTGTGGAAGCCAAGCTCAGGCGGACCCATTCTTTGTGAACCTCGGAACAGGCCTGGCACAGGCTGAGTTCTCACAGGAGACACACACCCGTGTCACTCCTGAGCTGTGCTGGACCTGTCCTGCAGACCCCACTTCCTCTAGGTCCTGGCCCTGGCATCTGCCAGGGAGATTTTAAATGAGTTGATAAGTACTAAGTGCTTTGAAAGGCACCTGCACATAGGAAGAGCTGTATAAATGTTCACTAGTAGTCATATTTTTCCCATGCTCTTACTCTCCAAAGCTGCCTGATAATTCTAGAGTGGGTTCCGGGGTGCCAGCTATTTGGGGCCTAGAAATGGACTCGGAAGGCTGTTTTGCTTGCTGAGAGTAGGTCTGGGAATGCCCCTTGACCAAGCTGAGACATCCCAGGTCCTGGGACCATTCCCCGCCCTGCTCCTGGCCCATTTCCAGACTGCTCCTGTGCCTGGCTGCCCATTGCGCTGGGTGGGTGATCTTAGGCTGCCCCGTGGGCCCTGGGCTCCTCTAAGACATGGAGAGCTTGCCAGGAGTTGAGGCCCGACCCCCACAGACTCCAAGATGGCAACAGAGGTTGTGAGGGTGCAGATGGAAGGAGAAGTTAGAAAAGTGAATTCGAAGTTGCCAGCTTGGACTCTGGGCAGAGTGGGTATCTTCAGCTTGGGAGTGGGTTGCTGTTCAGGGGCTACAGGGCTGCCTTCCCTGTGAATTGACGCCCAGGCTGAGGAGCCTCTGGGCTGTCTTCCCCTTGGATGCAGTGACTTGCCCCCTGCTTCTCAGGAACAGAGTACTGTGCGCTCTTCTCTGGGTCTCTCTTCAGAGAGACTGCTCCAGGGGTTGTCCCAATGGAGTTGGAAATTCTTCCTCTTGGAATGGCTCAAAGGTTTGCACCATCCGTTGCAGGGAAGGAATCCCTCTATCTCGGACTAATTCAAATGTTTGCATGCCTGCTGGGTTCCAGACCCTGGGCCTATAGAGAAAGAAGCTGGCTGAGGGCCCCACAGGGGATGATGAAGAGGGAGCTTGGGCCTCAAGTGGGGCCTGAAGTCCAAGCCTGCAGATTGCAATCAAGGCAGCTACCAGAGCCTAGCCAAGCTCCTGGCCCCTCCGAGATGGACCTTGGATGCTGGAGAGCAGGGCAGTCTGGCAGTGCAGGGTGCGGCACCTGAGCACACAGCCCCTGTTTCCCACCCCCTTGGCTCAGTCACACTGGGCCAACTGGACATTTCCCTGCAGCCGGTTTCTGGGAGTGGTTTAGCTCCCGCTCTCTGTTCCCCTCGCTCTGGGATCCTCCTTCCTTCCCAAGACCCACGACCTTGACCTGAAGCTGTTGGTTGCCAGGAAGAAATGGTGAGGGCAGGCAGATTTGGGTGACTGTTGTCATTAACCCCCTCTTCTTTGTTGCCCCCTTCCCAGATGTGTTCAGTGCTTCTGTATGAGTGTCCCAAGTGGCCCTGGATGGGCTACTGGCTGTCCCTGGCCTCAGAATCACCTCTAACCCCTGCCACATTTGGAGGAGGGAGGTGTCTGAATGAAGTCCTTTATTCTACAGATGGAGGAAGTGGTCAGTGTAGCCTGACGTGGGAGCAGCAGCATGTGATGCCCAGGCCCCAGCCAAGTGCCCATCGGCGTCCAGCTGGAGCCCCTGAGCCCTGCAGGGACTGAACTCCCCTGAAGGGTTGCTTGGGTTCTTGCTTTTCGGGGTTAGAGTGAGTGTGAGTGTCCTGAGATGTGGGTTATCTTTTAGTGTTGGCTGAACCGTCACCTGGGACCTACAGCCAGGCCACAGCCCCATCTCTGTCCCCCTGCACCCCACCCTGCCCTGCAGAAAGATGATGTGATCGCTGTAGACCGAAGCCCTGGGCTCTGCTGCTGGCCCAGCAGGGAGGAGGTTCCTGCTGCTCTGGCTGAAGTGAGGTGTGGGTCTGGCTGGGCCTTCAGTTTCCCACCTGGGCCTTGAGGGTGAGGAAGTCCTGGCCGCAGGAGCCCAGAAGCACCTGGGTCGGAGAGTCCCTCTGTCCCACCTGCAGCTCATTCAAGCCTGTGCCCAGGGGTTGCGGTCCTCAGGATCTTGCTTTCCTGTTTAGGGGAGGCAGCCCGGAAGAGTGCAGGGGCCGGTTTGGAGAGTGCTGGGGAACACTGGTCTGCCCCCATGCTACTTATGCTCTGTGTCCTCTGCAGCTACAGCATGAACCTCTGTCCCCATAATCAAAAGGGTCTCAGCAAATAACAAAAAGATTGCCATTTAGCAGTCAGGCATTTATTAAAAACCTGGCCCAATAAACTTAAAAAAAAAAAAAGATGTGCTAGACACTCTACATCACTTCATGTGAGCCTCACACAACCCTGTAATTAAGCACATTTATAAATGAAGAAATGGAGGATTGAAGGATTAAGTTACTTGGCCAAGGTCACACAGCTCGTAAGCAGCTGAGCTAGGACTCAAATCCAGGCCTGTTTCCAAAACCTTCGCTTTTCAGCCCAGTTCTCAACTGCCCCCTGGAGTCTGCCCATTCTGCCCAATGAAGAAGGAGAGCCCGTCTTAAAGGTTTTTGTAAAGGGGTTTGCTGAAGGCCACAGTGTATTAGTATCAAAGGTGGAACACAAATCCAGGCCTCTGAGTGCTGTCCTGAACCCCACATTCTGGCCGGGCCCTTTGCCTGAGCTCAGGCTTGTCTGCTTTCTCGGTTGGGCAGGGCGGGGCAGGACAGGGTTCTCCTCCCTCCTTCCTTCCTTCCTCCTTCCCTCCTTCCCTGCCGGCCCTCCCAGCCCTCCCAACCCCCACTTCTGCTGCTTTCCCTTGGCAATTGCTTCCATCTGGCCTGCCTGCAGCTCCTATTCCTTTGGAAATGCTGCTGCCGCCCACATGGCTGCAAGGCAACCATGGCCACACGTGAGGAAGGGGAGGGGCCCTACGGGGTCTAAGCACAGGGACTCTGGCCAAGGTGGCTGCTCCCGGCGTCTGGCATCCTGATTCCTGCCAGGCAGAAGCACCTTGGCTGCCTGGCCCTCCTTGACGCCCATCCTGGGCTGGCTGAAGGCCAGAGAAGTTCCCAAAGACCCAATTCTCCTTCCAACATGGTGAACTGTTTCGCCCGAAGGGAAGCTCAGCACCAGCAATCCTCCCTGTCCCTTACAGGTTGCTCAGGTTGGGAAGAGGGATTCCTGGCAGGATAGAATTAGGGGCCACCCGGGGTATATTCTGGGTTCCCACTGGGTTCTGATCATTTGGAGGGAAGTCATACAAGGGACTGGTGAGGGCAGAGGCCGAGGGATCCGTGCAGTTCTAGGCAGGTGAGAGGCAGGTGAGGAGGCAGCTGACTTGCTTCATGACTGTAGGCATTCGCCACCACACTAGGCTAATTTTTCTATTTTTTGTAGAGATGGGGTTTTGCCATGATGCCCATGCTGGTCTTGAAATTCTGGGCTCAAGCCATCCACCTGTCTCGGCCTCCCAAAGTGCTGGGATTATAGGCGTGAGCCACTGCGCCTGGCCAAGCGTGTCTGCCTTGTTCACTGCTATATATCCTTAATGCCTAGAACGATGTCTAGCAAATAATAAGCACTCGGTAGATTCTTGTGTGATGAGTGATGGAAATGCAGCTCAGGCGTGCTGACTTTGGCTTTGCTGTGTCTTTACTCTGCTTCCTCCTTCTTCCAGGGCAAAGGGAAAAAGTTTCCTTTTTGCCAGGTGAGCTGTTTGCCAGAGAAGGGTCTGGCCTCAGCTGTGTGCTGCTACCTGGGTGGTCTCTGGTTAGACGCCAGAGAGGCAGGCAGGAGCCCAGGTAGGAGCCCAGGTGGGGTTGGGCAGGAGTTTGTTCCCTGAGGAGGGTGTGCCCCATTCCACCCATCCCAGGGTCAGCTGGCCACATTTCTGTACCTGTCACCTTTTCCTAGTAGCCTTCAAGTCCCTGCAGACAGGTCCTGACCTCATCTCCAGTCCCTTGTCAGTCCTCTCCTTATTTAAGGCCCAAGAAAGGTACCCCTAGGGTAGAACCCTCACTTGGGTGGCGTCTCAGGAGTGACAGCTTTGGAGGAGCAAGGGGTTTACCCACA